TATAAAACAATGCTGAACTTTGACAAAGAAGTGATTTTTAAATGTTATATTATATACTATTATTGAGTGGAAATGGTAAATAAGACAATGAATGATCCTCTGCTGCTATCTAGTGGTTATAATGGGAATATCATGATATTAGCAGATGAAATGACCTAACTAAAAAGTGAGCAATATTGCATGTGAAAATTACTTTAAAAAAAAAAAAAAAAGTTTTCTACTGATTGGGGTCAGCCATCAGGAGTTAAAGGGAATGTTATACAACACTTTTCTGTTTTATGTTCTTATTTTTCTTTTACTTTTCACCTTTTTTCCTGTGGTATTGAAAATGGGGAGTGGGTTTGAACCTCTGCCACTTGTTTCACCCCTGATGAGTTTGTATATCCTTCCATACACAAGCTAGTTAATGGGCTTTTGGTCATTGACTTACAGAAAGTTTTCTGTAGGAGTTAGTGTCAGGGGCTAGAATACAGGGATCTTGCCTCAGTAAATGTGCAGTTGCACCTCTGTCTGAATATATTATGACACGCGCCGCATGGGAGCATTTCTGAGGTGTTTTCTCAGTTGTTTTCTCTCATCTCAGTTTTGTCATAATATGCTGCCACCTTACTGCATTAACAGTAGCATTTGTGATACATTTGGATTGTCAGGATTTGTCTTACAGCGTGTCTACAATGCAGCAGAAACAGTACTAGAAATACATGAGTGAACCCTTGAACCCATGAGTGGAAGAGATCCGGGGAACATCTGCACTGTGAGTCGATGCACCTCACGAGAGAAGAAGAAAGACCAGCAAGCAGGTAAACATGTATGTTTGTATGTCTGTGTGTTTTTTGTCAGTTTTTTGCACACCAGTTTAACGTAGTAACATTTATTCAAAAACATGGCGGTAACATAAACTTTGTTGTTTAAATTAACAAAATACTTTGTCAGCTTATTGAATTACCACATTAAAATTATTTTAACGAGCAACACTTATCTTATATTAACGTGAAGTTAACTAATGTGAAATTATGTTCATGTGATAACGTTGGCCAGTAGCTTATTGAGAAAATAAAATTGTATGTTATAGGTTAAACTAAAGTTTTATGGCTGCCTTTCTACTTTTAGCATTAGTTTGTTATAGTTTTTTTTTAATGGAATTTAAGATTTACTGCATTGTGTGTATGTGTGTGTGTGTGTGTGTTAAAGGCAACTGTACTGAAGCATCAAGAAACACATGAGCTTATGCCAGCCACACTGAAACTGATAATTCATGGCAAGAGAAGAACTTAACTATGATTTTGAGAGGTTTGTGTATTTCATATTGTTTTCATATGTCAGTTTACTGTAAAACTGAGGTACAGTTATGGTTACAGTAATCTTAATTACAGTAACTTATTGGCAACAGTGTCAACCCCTTGAAATGTCTAACAGTGTGCATTAAATTTAAGATTTGGTTTGCTTGTCGTTGATATTAATTACATCAAAAATATTTGTAAATATTAGTATAACAAAACATTGATATTCATATCCAGTATGTTCTGTTGTATTCACATATCATATAATTGCAGACTGTACAACATTTACATCATTTAAGAGTGTAAAAAGTGTGCTGAAATAAATGTGCAATGTAATGAGGTCATGTGACAGTTTGAGTCAGTATTGTTGTATAATGTAATTTGTTTCACGAAGAAATAGGCAGAATAACGTTTATACTGAGCTGAATTTGGTAAGCAGTAAGAGAGTTTTCCATTTTGATCAAAATCACAGTCGCTCAATTGGACGTGATCATATTAGAGTGAGTTTATGAGGTCAATGATATTCGACTCACCCGTCACATTGAGAGAAACAGAGCTTGAGTGTGATGATTTTGGTCTTTTATCTCTCTGTCCTCTACACCAGTACTGATCCTGATCAGATGTAGTTACTCCTCTGATAGTGAGAGTGTCTCTGTTTACAGTGTAACGCTTAGACGCCTGTAACATTACACTGTATCTGCCTTTATACCACTCATATCTCCACTCATATGTCTGGTAATATCTCCAGTCAGACGACTGGTAATATGTCAGGCCATTTCTCCATCTCCAGTCACTGTGAGACTCAATCACACACTTCAGATTGACTGTCTCTCCAGTGAATACAGGACTGTCTGGTCTCACAGTCAGTGTAGATCTGGGTGAATCTGTGAAGAAAGACAAAAATATGAAGTGACTCAAACAGCTCTTTGAGGGAAAAATACTTTGTAAATGTGTTATAAAACTACAATTCATTATGTTATGTCATCTCATAATATTGGTTCTGTTTTATTTGTTCCATTTGTAAATGTTATGGGTCTTGCTTCCGGTGTCATTCGCTTCCAGCTATTTTTAGCTGTACAAAACTGCTCGTTTTGCTGCTTGATATTGCAAACTGGTGTGACAGTCTTGCCATATTATTTTAATGTATAATCTTAATTATGAACACACTGGTATGTAGTGCAAACATTTTGACCATTTACAGTACTTTGTTATTCTTCCCTACAGCGGCTAATGAACCGGAAGTCTCGCACATTCACAGAAAACGGTTTACTTCCGCGTTGAAAAATAAGGTGGATAGCAACCTCTGTGTTTTGTATCAAGAGAGCGTCCATTATACATCTGTGTTATTATTTTCTTTGTTTTTTATTAATGTGTAATCATAATCATTGATCATTTCATTGTTCCATTTAATCAAATAATAATTTATTAATTTTTATTATTTATTATTTCACTTATTTCACACATGGAGATCCGTTCTAACAGACACATGCTCAGACAAACACCTAAATGTGGTGTTAGATCAGGAATGGACTTGAATAAGAGCCTCATGCAGAGAGCAATAGAGACACCAGAACAGAAATATTCATGATTCTGCTTAGTTACAAATACAGAATTATATTAGACCCATATGATTTCATTCTGTCTCTCACTACATACATTTAAACTATTTTAATTACTGAATTTTATGATGTAATGAATTGTATTTTTAAATGAGTTATCATTAATAAACAAGGAAGCTTCAATGTGTGACCTTCTGGATTCACCACATTTGATGAGCCATTACCATATTTCATGCTAAATTAAATCTGCCTAAACTTTTTTAGACATTATAATTATAATTATTAATAAACTGTAAGAATTTGACATGAAAGATGATGCATACATTTAATAAGGTTAGGGGGGGAAACTGCCCTTTATTTAGGCCAGGGGTTCTCAAAGTCTACATTCAAAGGTCCAAATATGAATTTTCATCAGTGTCAAAGGTCCGGACCGAAACAATCCGTTATTACAAAACTTGTTTTTAATAAACATACATAACAAATAAACACTAATTAAAAATAAATAAAGTGTCCTTTGCATTCAAAATACTGTACATTAATAACAATTGCAAGAATGGCAAAACAGTTCATTTAAGTATCAGCAACAGACGTTGACTAACATGGGTTTTTCTCTGGCCGATGCTGATATTTAGAAATCAGGGCAGCTGATGGCTGATATATGATGCTGATGTTTTTGGCCGATTTTCTTCGCCAAACCCCACCCCCTTCATCTCATAAAAGGGAATTTGAGTAAATGTTTATTGCAGGGTACAAGATAGTAATAGCTAGTGGTAGTTGTAGCCTAATTCATAGTAATAATACATGGCTCAAAATTAAGCACCTTCTCAAAACAGTTCTGAAGCATTCTTTTTGTTCATGTTTGTTGAAAAACAGCAGTGTTTCCCACAGACTTGCAAATGCAAATTAATTATCTTCCAGCAGGAGGCGCTGTTGGAGCAGGAGATATAGCTGTTTCCCCGGTAACGGCTGTAATCAAATAAGCGCTGCTCAAAAATGCTACTTTATCAGGCATTACAGGAAAGATGAAATGAAAATGACATCGAAGCTTTTTGATAGTTTTGATATAACTCAATGTATGGGAAACACTTGGACACTGCTAGAAGTCAAATGGCCGGCATAATCTAAGTAATAATAAAAAAATCTCATATTAGCGGTGAAGTGTCGCCCGATTAGGCTGTCAGACGCTCACTGGATGTCATGACAACAATGTCACGCAGGAAAACTTTAAATACCTCGCCTTCACTTTCATTTCAGACCATCTCCAAAAAGACATTAACAAAAAAAAACTAAACAAATGATTTACAAGTTTAACAGTTTATCAAAGTAGGAAATTAGTGCTCTTGAAATATGAAATAGAGGTTCTGATCCGGCCTCACCTTCACTACAGGTTTTGCTCTCGATGTATTAATACACATATGAGTAAATATAGATTGAAACAACATTACAGTATCATGATCACTGTTATGAACTCAAAATATCATTATGAGAAAAATACTGCACTAAATTAAATATCTGGTTTGCTTGTAGTTGGTGTTGATTAATAAAAATATTTCCAATTATGTGTAACAACTAAATGAAACACTGATTTGTATATTCAGTCAACATCTATGTTCTTTAATTCACATATTACACAATTTCATAGTGTACAACATTTACATAATTTAGGAGAATCATAAACTTTCAATAATGTCAAATAGGTTTATTTAGAAGGACAATGATATTCAACTCACCCTTCACTGAGAGATAAACAGAGCTTGAGTGTGATGAGACTGATCTTCCATCTATGTGTCCTCTACACGTGTACCGACCCGCATCAGATGTTTCAGATCGTTCAATAGTGAGAGTGTTTACAGTGTGACGCTCAGACACTTTAGTGCTGTCTTTATACCACTCATATCTCCAGTTACTGTGATCAGAGTTTATCTCACACTTCAGACTCACTCTCTCTCCAGTGAATACAGGACCGTTTGGAGTCGCAGTCAGTGAAGATCTGGGTAAAGCTGTGAAGAAAGACAAAAACATGAAGTGACTGAAACAGCAGTTCAGAGGAAAGAATTACCTTGTAAATGTGTCACAAAACTATATAGTTTTTATAGTCTATTATTAAAATATAGTCTATTTTTTGTTATTTTTTCATAACTTGGTCGAGTCGGAGTGAACTGTTGTGCTAATAGAGTCTCATGAACGCACAGTCGTGCACGGAGACCAACAGCCAAGGTCAGGATATTTGTTATAAAATGTTACATTTCGATTTGTTTTCCACCAAACCCCTGAACACGTGGCGTATCCGAATACAGTGGCGCAAAACAGGGTGTTCAGTATATGCAGTGCATAGGGGCCGAAATCATTCTGTAAAATCTTCTTTAATAAAACGTTATAAATAATCAAAAGCTTAGTTGTTAAAAATAATGCAATGAAACATTTTTATTTAACGTTTTTTAGCATTTTTAATGCGTTCAAAATGTATAATAAACTGAGTAGGCTACATATCAACCCGTTACTGTCACAGACAGAGTCAGATGAATAGAGGAGAAAACGCTCTGAGCGCAGAACAGAGAAGACAAGGAGAAAAGAACAATGCGTTAAAATAAGGACAGCAATATCCAAGTGAACTAACAGAAATTGGTAAGCTCTATAAAGACTCTATAAAGTAATTCAACATTTAATGTTGTTACTTATAAAAGGGCAAAGTGATTAACGTTAATATCAGTTCATTTCTGAGTATCTCTATTGCTCAAAAAATAAAAAAAGTCACGACATGTATGTGAATGGGTGTTTGATTTACATTTGAGAGAAACTGAGATTATTAACAAGGATACAAATAAGCCTCACCGAAAACTGCCGTTTTGAATTTAAAATAGGCCATTTGTGTGATTCAAGTAGATCAAGTAGAGGTTTTTTTTTTAACTCTTGCTTCTTCATACTTCGTATAAAACAATGCTGAACTTTGACAAAGAAGTGATTTTTAAATGTGATATTATATACTATTACGGAGTGGAAATGGTAAATGAGACAATGAATGATCCTCTGCTGCTGTCTAGTGGTTATAGTGGGAATATCATGACATTCATTTCAATAGTATTTGTTTTTCTACCAGGTGAACCTCTGCCACTTGTTTCACCCCTGATGAGTTTGTATATCCTTCCATACACAAGCTAGTTAATGGGCTTTTGGTCATTGACTTACAGAAAGTTTTCTGTGGGAGTTAGTGTCAGGGGCTAGAATACAGGGATCTTGCCTCAGTAAATGTGCAGTTGCACCTCTGTCTGAATATAGTATGACACGCGCCGCATGGGAGCATTTCTGAGGTGTTTTCTCAGTTGTTTTCTCTCATCTCAGTTTTGTCATAATATGCTGCCACATTACTCCATTAACTGATCATATAAATATATTTCCAGGCTTATGAAATCCATACGAGCTGCATTATGTGTTCATTGCCTGCTTGATCATCTGTAATCTAACGCTCTCTACGCAGCCGTTTATAAAGACGCCTGACATTTTACAAGTTTAGTTCATTTATCGACAAGAGCTGCTTATGTCAGAGAGAGTTTCTGCTAGTCAATAAAGAATAAATGGAACATTATCATTGATTCTGTTAAATTAAAATGACGAATCCATCATGACGGAGAAAATGAATCATAGATGGAGGTTTTAATCGCAGGTTAGAATTAAATCCTAATCCACATTTTGTTCATCTGTGGTTCAACACAACTCAACTTAAAATAAATAAATACCCCAAATCAACAAATCCTTGATTAGCTCTAAACTTTGCTTAATTTAATCCTTATTTGTGCAATAACCACGTTGTGCGTCTTTAAAAAAAAAAACGGAGTGCTATCTTTTCCCATTTTTCTTTCTTTCTTTTAATCTCTCGTTGTGGTCTTCGAAAAGAAGGATATAAAGCATTAGAACAACACAAAGATGAGTAAATGATGCCCTGATTTTCATTTTTGGTTGAACTATCCCTTTAATGTCACAATTTACATGACATTAAAATGAGACCCAGGATTTGAGTGTGCACTGCAGAATAACTGCATCACATCACATTTATCTGTCCAGTGTGTTTCTGTTCACTAACAGGTTCACTGTCAATGTGGATGCGTGTCCTGAGTTATATATTCACTTCAGTTATAATAATATGTGCTTGTCACTCTTATTAATAACTGAACTGTGCATGAATGTAACTTATTCATTTTTCTAAAACAAGTTTTAAAATCATTGATAACTGCACAGTATCTGTCTTATAAAGAAGGGTTTCCCAAACTGGGGTTTGCGACTTAATGAAAAGCTAATAATTAAATCAGAAAAAAAAAAATAACATTCAAAGAAATATTTAAAAAATAAAAACAACTAAAATAAAATGGTAAAAAAAAAATAATAATAAAGTGACTAAAAAACAAACATATCAAAAAACATTGTAAATGTGTATACAACTTCCAACATGATTAGTCAGATAGGCTCAATGAGGAGGACAATGATATTAAACTCACCCTTCACTGAGAGATAAACAGGAGAGCTGGAGTGTGATGAGACTGATCTTCCATCTATGTGTCCTTTACACGTGTACCAACCCACATCAGATGTTTCAGATCGTTCAATAGTGAGAGTGTTTACAGTGTGACGTTTAGACACTTTAGTGCTGTATTTATACCACTCATATCTCCAGTTACTGTGATCAGAGTTTATCTCACACGTCAGACTCACTCTCTCTCCAGTGAATACAGGACTGTTTGGAGTCACAGTCAGTGAAGATGTGGGTAAATCTGTGAAGAAAGACAAAAACATGAAGTGACTGAAACAGCTCATTCAGTGGAAAGAATTACTTTGTAAATGTGTTATAAAACTATACTGTTTAAACATTAATTAATGTAATTTCATAATGCTTGTGTTTTATTTATGTATTGTGATAAGTTTTCTCATCTCAGTTTATTTGAGGAGGCTCTGGCTCCGTCATGAAGCATCTCAGGATTCTCAATAGCAGCCTCTGTGTGTGTTGCTTCAAGGGAGCGACCATCCGTCTGTGTTATTTTCTTTCTTTTTTTTTATTAATTTATAATCATAATAATTTATAATTTAATTATTAAATTTAATCAATTATTCATTTTTATTATTTTACTTACTTCACCTGCTTTTGCAATGCTTGCTATTGTTGTTTAATCTTATGATTGTTTGGTTTCAAAACATATTTGCCTCCGTGAGAAAGAGAACGTCTATATTTCAAGGTTTTTAACGTCACAGATTGATGTTGTTTAAAACATTCATGAAATATTCATGATTCTGATTAGTTACAAATACAGAATTATATTAGACCCATATGATTTCACTCAGTCCCTCACTACATACATTTAAAATGTATTAATTACTGAATTTTATAAAGAAAGTTATTTTCTTTAAATCATGTATTATCATTAATAAACAAAGAATCTTGAATGTGTGATCTTCTGGATTCATCACATTTGATGTGCCATTATCATATTTCATGCTAAATTAAATCTGTCTAAACTTTTATTTTGGTTGAACTATAGACGATACATACTGTCACATTTGTCTATTGTGATATGTTATGACACATCATGTTGTTCTCCTTCAGTTATAATATGCAGATGTCACTCTAATTCAGTGGTTCTTAATCCTGGTTTTGGGGATGTCTCGATGTGGTTCTGCACGTCTCTCTTATTTAACACACCTGATTGCCTGATTAACAGAGAGCTAGATGAGCTGAACTGAACTGAGTGAGTCAGATAAAGGAGACATAAATGTGCAGATCGGGGTCCCCAGAACCAGGATTAAGAAGCACTAATAATTGAACTGTGTGTGAATGTAACTGTATTCAGCTTTCTAAAACGCGTTTTAAAACCACTAATAACTGCACAATATCAGTCCTATAAAGCAGGGTTAACCAAACTGAGGTTTGTGAGAGAACTGCAGGGGGTTGATGAAAATCTAATAATGAAATCATAAAAATATAAAAATTAAATTAAAAAAAATAAAATTAAAACAATCAAATTAAAACACAATAAAAAGATTAAATATTGAATTTGTTTATCTGCATGTCAAGTGACTACAGAATCTATCAAGTGTTTGTGGGAGTCAAGCCCAATAATATTTATATTGATTTCAGTACAGGTATTTACACTCTGTTTTATTTTATTTTTTATTTTTAGAACTGAAATACTACCTTCTATCATTGTACTAACTTAACAGCCATCCCATCACAATGCAGTGGTTTAAAATCAATTATCTGCCTAATGTGGCCCCTCATGCCCATATCTTATACAGGCATTTGTTTATAAATATTTACTATTTATGCCTTCATTAGTCAATAAATTTAAGCAAATTTGATTGCTCTTTTAGAAATTAAAGCTAAGAAAACCCTCAACTGATGGGTACCAATTAACTTTTCTATACAACTATAAATGAATCATTGTAACTCACTACCATTTGTTAATACTTTATGGAATAAATACAATGTAAATGTTCATCTTCCCTCTGAATCTTTCTGAATAGAAATGGCTACATTTCAGCATCATTAAACTGTCACATCAGCTGCTTCTGTTTTTTTTTTCTGCAGTGGAAACATCAGTTTTATTGATACTGATTTAATTTGATTAGTAACATAATTATTAATAAAAATGTAAGAATTTTCTATGAAAGATGACGCATACATTTAATAATGTTAGGGGAAAAAACTGCCCTTTATTTAGGCAAATAGTCAGCTTGAATCATATAAAATGTAATTTCTCAACAAAAATTGAGGCCAGTGAAAAAGCTGAGTTGCTAGTAATTTTGGAAAACCACTAGCCACAGTGACTGCAGAGCAAAAGCATTAATGTCAAGCCCTGCCTGTAATCATAGTGACAGAGACTAAAGTAAAAGTAAAGAGAGTGACTGTCTCTGCTCTGAACACACACTGATCTGATCCGGCCTCACCTTCACTACAGGTTTTGCTCTCGATGTATTAATACACATATGAGTAAATATTGATTGAAACAACATTACAGTATCATGATCACTGTTATGAACTCAAAATATCCTTATGAGAAAAATACTGCACTAAATTAACTATCTGGTTCGCTTGTAGTTGGTGTTGATTAATAAAAATATTTCCAATTATGTGTAACAACTAAATGAAACACTGATTTGTATATTCAGTCAACATCTATGTTCTTTAATTCACATATTACACAATTTCATAGTGTACAACATTTACATAATTTAGGAGAATCATAAACTTTCAATAACGTCAAATATGCTTATTCAGGAGGACAATGATATTCAACTCACCCTTCACTGAGAGATAAACAGAGCTTGAGTGTGATGAGACTGATCTTCCATCTATGTGTCCTTTACACGTGTACCAACCCGCATCAGATGTTTCAGATCGTTCAATAGTGAGAGTGTTTACAGTGTGACGCTCAGACACTTTAGTGCTGTCTTTATACCACTCATATCTCCAGTTACTGTGATCAGAGTTTATCACACACTTCAGACTCACTCTCTCTCCAGTGAATACAGGACCGTTTGGAGTCGCAGTCAGTGAAGATCTGGGTAAAGCTGTGAAGAAAGACAAGAACATGAAGTGACTCAAACAGCAGTTCAGAGGAAAGAATTACTTTGTAAATGTGTTATAAAACTATTCATTTTATTTTTATTATTTTACTTACTTCACCTGCTTTTGCAATGCGTGCTATTGTTGTTTAATCTTATGATTGTTTGGTTTCAAAACATATTTGCCTCCGTGAGAAAGAGAACGTCTATATTTCAAGGTTTTTAACGTCACAGATTGATGTTGTTTAAAACATTCATGAAATATTCATGATTCTGATTAGTTAAAAATACAGAATTATATTAGACCCATATGATTTCACTCGGTCCCTCACTACATACTCTTGAATGTGTGACCTTCTGGATTCACCACATTTGATGAGCCATTATCATATTTCATGCTAAATTAAATCTGTCTAAACTTTTATTTTGGTTGAACTATAGACGATACATACTGTCACATTTGTCTATTGTGATATGTTATGACACATCATGTTGTTCTCCTTCAGTTATAATATGCAGATGTCACTCTAATTCAGTGGTTCTTAATCCTGGTTTTGGGGATGTCTCGATGTGGTTCTGCACGTCTCTCTTATTTAACACACCTGATTGCCTGATTAACAGAGAGCTAGATGAGCTGAACTGAGTGAGTCAGATAAAGGAGACATAAATGTGCAGATCGGGGTCCCCAGAACCAGGATTAAGAAGCACTAATAACTGAACTGTGTGTGAATGTAACTGTATTCAGCTTTCTAAAACACGTTTTAAAATCACTAATAACTGCACAATATCAGTCCTATAAAGCAGGGTTAACCAAACCGAGGTTTGTGAGAGAACTGCAGGGGGTTGATGAAAATCTAATAATTAAATCATAAAAATACAAAATAATAAAATAAATCATTTAAAAATAAAAACAATCAAAATAAAACACAATAAAAATATGAAATATTTAATTTGTTTATTTGCATGTCAAGTGACCATTAACCGATATTAGATGAGTTTTTTTGAAAACTCTTGCTTCTTCATACTTCGTATAAAACAATGCTGAACTTTGACAAAGAAGTGATTTTTAATTGTGATATTATATACTATTACTGAGTGGAAATGGTAAATAAGACAATGAATGATCCTCTGCTGCTATCTAGTGGTTATAATGGGAATATCATGATATTAATTTCAATAGTATTTGTTTTTCTACCAGGTGACAGAAATCTTCCACTGAAGCATGGCACATTTTCATTCAATTATCTATATGAGAAAAAATGATAAAAAAAATAAATAAATAAAAATGCAGATGAAATTACCTAACTAAAAAGTGAGCAATAGTACATGTGTTTGAAGAAAATTACTTAAAAAATGCATTATACTGTCTGGGGTCAGCCCTCAGGAGTTAAAGAGGATGTTATACAACACACTTTTTTGTTTTTCTTTTCACTTTTCACCTTTTTTCCTATGGTAGTGAAAATGGGGAGGGGATTCAAACCTCTGCCACTTGTTTCACCCCTGATGAGTTTGTATATCCTTCCATACACAAGCTAGTTAATGGGCTTTTGGTCATTGACTTACAGAAAGTTTTCTGTAGGAGTTAGTGTCAGGGGCTAGAATACAGGGATCTTGCCTCAGTAAATGTGCAGTTGCACCTCTGTCTGAATATAGTATGACACGCGCCGCATGGGAGCATTTTTGTATTGGGTTGCACCATTAAGGATTAAACTTAAATCTAGATTAAATTGAGGTTTATCCAATAATTCGGTTGCAACAATCTTTAAAAATAAGCAGGTTTACATTTAAACCGAATCGTGCCAGTTGTTTTCTCTTATCTCGGTTTTGTCATAATATGCTGCCACATTACTGCATTAACTGTATACAGCATTAGAACAACACAAAGATGAGTAAATGATGACTTCATTTTCATTTTTGGTTGAACTATCCCTTTAATGTCACAATTTACATGACATTAAAATGAGACCCAGGATTTGAGTGTGCACTGCAGAATAACTGCATCACATCACATTTATCTGTCCAGTGTGTTTCTGTTCACTAACAGGTTCACTGTCAATGTGGATGCGTGTCCTGAGTTATATATTCACTTCAGTTATAATAATATGTGCTTGTCACTCTTATTAATAACTGAACTGTGCATGAATGTAACTTTTTCATTTTTCTAAAACAAGTTTTAAAATCATTGATAACTGCACATTATCTGTCTTATAAAGAAGGGTTTCCCAAACTGGGGTTTGTGAGTTAATGAAAAGCCAATAATTAAATCAGAAAAATGTAATATTCAAATAAATATTAAAAAAATCAAAATAAAACACCGTAAAAAAAAAAAAAAAAAGACTGAATATTTAATTTGTTTATCTGTATGTCATTGTTACGTTCTGTTAGTTTAGTTTTAATGGACCTTTAATTTGTTTCTCTTAGTTCCTGTTTCCTTTGTTCAAGTTTCCCACCACTCATCAGTTCCCCTGGACCAGTGGCGTAACTTAGTAATGACGGGCCCCAGTGCAGGTTATTACGACGGGCCCCTGGGGTGCACGGTTATGGAGCACATACAAACACAGCGCTCGTGTCTAGAAGGGAACCCATATATGCAAATTTGTGCCTAACCTACTTCATTTAGACCAACTAAAATCAGTATCTTATCAGTTTCTTATATTAATCGAAACTCAAATTGAAACTCTTTGCGTGCGTCTCTCTCTAACACACACGGCTGTGTGGCTGTGCGTGCGCCTGGCCGCAGCAGCCAGAAGTACCAAATTAATCGTGTTTAATTTTACAGTCATCAGCATGTGTTACCTATTGTATTTGCAAAGCACAGAAGGCAAGGTTATCAGAAGCGCTGTGGTGCTGAAATTACCGCAAACTTTGTTTTTTTTTGCACAGTAACCCAGTAATCACGGCAACCGCATTCCTCTCCGAAAAGCAAGAGACTAGATAAGAAAGAGGTCTAAAAATTATCAACACCATGTCCCGAATCATGGCCAACTTTAGCGGCAACAACCACACACAAATGTAATACCCACAAGCACATACACACAGTGGCGCCTGCAGGTGTACGGCTGTACGCACTGTGAGTACCGTAAGCACTCAGACTGACCTGAGATTTGCCCCGCAAACATTTCAGCAGTTATTATAGGACTGTGTGTCCCGTATTTCTGTTGACTGAACCAGCCATGCCATTAATTATGAATTTATCAGTCTTTTGCACGCCAAAGTCAATTTCTGCGTATAAACATTACGCCAAATAGAAACAGAAAATCGTGCTATACGCACTTTCATGAGATCGGGTTAGACTACAACAATTAGTAGTCTAATAGTTTGTAGTCTATTTTACAAATGAGCATACAACGAATTCATAACAATGTTTTACATTCAAGCTACCCGTAAAATTTTAGTGTAACATTCTTTAAAATCATCTGGAATGCAATAAAGTAATTTTTAAAGCTGTTTTTAAAGCATTTGCTGCATGGATTAAATCAAAAATAGGACCATAAATAATTCACATATCAGACAAAATTGGGCCTGGACACACATTAATCATCACAGGTGTCAACAAATGTGTGTTGTTGATCTTACTGTGAACAATTCATCCATTATATGTTTTTTTGTTTGTTTTTAATGTCACCTAGTAAGTTTTAATCAAAATCTCATAACTGAATCTTCCAGTGAAATGACAGACTTCTCTCTGGTGAAGTGTGCTGGACTTTAGTTCACTTAAATCCACCTCCAACGTGTGTTAGTAACAAATGATGAACAGAACCAAATCCTCACCTTGTCCTCCTCTTTTTTTTTTTTTGATAATTGGTTTAACTCAGAAAAATTCTGTTGCTACTTTACTTCTGTTTCATTGTGACTTTATAAAATGCAGCTGTCGCTGTCATTAATGACTGCCCTGTGTGCAAATGTTACTGTATTCAGTTCTTTAACACAAGTATCAGAATCATTGATAACTCAAATTGAAACTCTTTGCGTGCGTCTCTCTCTAACACACACGGCTGTGTGGCTGTGCGTGCGCCTGGCCGCAGCAGCCAGAAGTACCAAATTAATCGTGTTGAATTTTACAGTCATCAGCATGTGTTACCTATTGTATTTGCAAAGCACAGAAGGCAAGGTTATCAGAAGCGCTGTGGTGCTGAAATTACCGCAAACTTTGTTTTTTTTTGCACAGTAACCCAGTAATCACGGCAACCGCATTCCTCTCCGAAAAGCAAGAGACTAGATAAGAAAGAGGTCTAAAAATTATCAACACCATGTCCCGAATCATGGCCAACTTTAGCGGCAACAACCACACACAAATGTAATACCCACAAGCACATACACACAGTGGCGCCTGCAGGTGTACGGCTGTACGCACTGTGAGTACCGTAAGCACTCAGACTGACCTGAGATTTGCCCCGCAAACATTTCAGCAGTTATTATAGGACTGTGTGTCCCGTATTTCTGTTGACTGAACCAGCCATGCCATTAATTATGAATTTATCAGTCTTTTGCACGCCAAAGTCAATTTCTGCGTATAAACATTACGCCAAATAGAAACAGAAAATCGTGCTATACGCACTTTCATGAGATCGGGTTAGACTACAACAATTAGTAGTCTAATAGTTTGTAGTCTATTTTACAAATGAGCATACAACGAATTCATAACAATGTTTTACATTCAAGCTACCCGTAAAATTTTAGTGTAACATTCTTTAAAATCATCTGGAATGCAATAAAGTAATTTTTAAAGCTGTTTTTAAAGCATTTGCTGCATGGATTAAATCAAAAATAGGACCATAAATAATTCACATATCAGACAAAATTGGGCCTGGACACACATTAATCATCACAGGTGTCAACAAATGTGTGTTGTTGATCTTACTGTGAACAATTCATCCATTATATGTTTGTTTGTTTGTTTTTAACCCTCTGGGGTCCGAGGGTGTTTTGGGGCCTGGAAAAGTTTTGTCACCTAGTAAGTTTTAATCAAAATCTCATAACTGAATCTTCCAGTGAAATGACAGACTTCTCTCTGGTGAAGTGTGCTGGACTTTAGTTCACTTAAATCCACCTCCAACGTGTGTTAGTAACAAATGATGAACAGAACCAAATCCTCACCTTGTCCTCCTCTTTTTTTTTTTTTGATAATTGGTTTAACTCAGAAAAATTCTGTTGCTACTTTACTTCTGTTTCATTGTGACTTTATAAAATGCAGCTGTCGCTGTCATTAATGACTGCCCTGTGTGCAAATGTTACTGTATTCAGTTCTTTAACACAAGTATCAGAATCATTGATATCTATAATGAATCTGTCTTGTAAAGAAACATATTATGCCGTTCTGGGTTTGAACAAATAATGATTAAAAATTAAGTCCTTCAGTCTTCTTATAATAACATATATGTAGCTTGTACAGAAGAATATAAGAAAAGTGTTGAGCCACAAATATTGATTCTCTCCTCTACAGCTGTATCCACCACTGTAAGACTCATCAGATGTGATGCTGTAGACTCTCTCAGTGACGTCTCTGATGACGGAATCATCTTTAAACCAGCTGTATGTCCACTGAATGTTTCCTCCTCTCTGTATGTCACATGTGAGAGTGACTGTCTCTCCTCTGAACACACGCTGATCTGGAGTCACCTTCACTTCAGGTTTTACTGATAAACATAGAAGAAGATGCTGGTTGAAAAAGCATCGCAGTATCATGATTACTGCTACTAGCTCACAACACCGTTAGGTGAAAAACACTGCATTAAATGTAATATCTGATTTGCTTGTAGTTTGTGTTGACTATATCAAAATTTTTTGTAAAAACAAAATGAAACGCTGATATTTATATTCTGTCTATACATGTGTTTTTTTTTATTTTTTATTATTTGCTTTAAACAAACAGGGAACATTAATAGCCTGTATATTAAATACTGCAGTTGTAAGTGTAGACAACAGGGTTTACACAGCCATCATTTGAAAATATTGTATACAAAGTGATCAGCTAACTAATTAGCTGACTACATATGACATGCAGATGTATGTATATACCCATACACACACTTTCATATAACATGCATCCAAACACCCATATATATATATATATATATATATATACACACACACACGTACACATACAAATTCCCAAATGCATTTACACCCACATGTCACTATTAAGATACTTGACAGTGAAATAATTTAACTGACTAAAACATTGAATATACGAATACAAGAAGTTACTAGTGACTATTACACCTCTTATCTCTCAGGATACTGCTTGTTCCCTAACATAAACATAAGCAAGAACTAAACAAAGGCCGTAGTACAATAACCTAATTGTCGGATATCTTATAATTCTTTGTTGAAGAATTAAACAATATATAAAATTATTTAAAACTCTCAGAGTGCACCCCTAATCTTGACCCCTATGCCAATATGAAGTTATAAATCAAAATTGTTAATTAAGGATTTTATTGGGTTCCATATTCTTGAAAATATTTTTTGTCTATCTGATATCTTATATCTCAGCTCTTCTAGGGGTAACACATAGCTTAGATCTCTTAGCCAAACTTCGAATACAGGCACAGATTCAGACTTCCATTTCTGTAAAATTGCCTTTTTTGCTAAGATCATGCATAAAGAAACAGATTGTGACACATATTTACTTCCTATATCTGAGGTATCTCCAAAAATACCCAATTTTGGCTCAGGTGAAACATTAATTTTATATGCCTCTGAAATAAATCTGAATATACTTTGCCAGAGTGGTCTAATTTTATGACGTGTCCAAAATAAATGAGACAACGTGCCTTCTGAGATTTTACATTTGTTACATATTGAGGATACAGTTGGGAAAATCTTATGTAGTTTGGTCTTCGAATAATGAAGTCTGTGAATAACTTTGAATTGAATCACACTATGCCTTGCATTTAATAGAGCATTCGTGAATTTCATTAAGACATTCTTCCCATGACTGCCCAGACAATATACCAAGTTCCTTTTCCCATTCTTGCCTAATGTGATCAGTGTTTACATTCACCTTATCCAGTAGTAAAGCATAAAAGAAAGAAACAGTGCCTCGTTCTATTGGACTGCGATTACATATAATTTCAAGAGTTAGATGTATAGCCCTTTTTTCAAAACCAGTGAAATGTTTCCTAGTAAAATCTCTAATTTGTAAATACCGGAAAAAAATCTGTAGATAAAAGATCATATTTCAATTTAAGTTGACTAAATGAGCAAAATTTATTCTCAATATATAAATCTCTTATGGAAATTAAACCCTTTTGCTTCCATTGGGAGAAAACCTTGTCTTGTAAGCCAGGGGTAAAGGCATGGTTTTTACAAATTGGGCTGTCCAAATATATATGTGGAAGATCCAAAAATGATTTAATCTGTTTCCAAATCTCTAGAGAGTTATTTATTACTATATTTTCATTATAAAACCTTGACTCAATTTTTATTGGACTATTCAACAAAGCCTCTAAAGATGTCGTCCTACAAGAAGTTCTTTCTAACCAAACCCATTCTGGTATCTCCACTTTATTTTCTGGAGTTTGTCTCCACCAAGAAAGGAACTGTAAATTAACGGCCCAGTAGTAACTTCTGAAGGAAGGAAGACCAAATCCTCCTTCTGCTTTGGGCTTGCATAGATGTTTTTTAGATATTCTGACAGCTTTATAATTCCAAATAAAATAAATAATTATAGAATCTAATTTTGTAAATAGTTTCGCCGGTATCAGAGCTGGAATAGAACAAAATAAATACAAAAATCGAGGAAGCGTTACCATTTTGATTGCATTGATCTTTCCTGCCATAGACATAGGTAAAGTCCTCCAAAATTTTATATTATCTTTTAGCTGATTCACATGCCAGTTCACCTTTAGAAGTGCATCTGCCTTTCTTGTGATTATAATTCCTAAATGTTTAAATGTATTATGAGCAATTTTAAATGGTATAGAATTTAAAAATGTTTTGTCAATATCCTCAGTTATGGGCATTAACTCACTTTTATCCCAATTTATTGTAAAACCCGATAGTTTATTAAATAATTCTGAAAGCTTCAAAAGAGGTGGAATAGACAATTCTGGCTTTGCTATATATAAAAGTACATCATCTGCATATAAAGATATATATTGGGGTCTATCATTAATTAAAATAGGGGCAATTTCAACATTCTGCCTGACACTCTCTGCCAAGGGTTCCATCGCTAGTGCAAATAGGTAGGGGGAGAGAGGACAGCCTTGGCGTGTTCCTCTGTATAGTGGGAATGAGGCTGAAAATGTCAAGTTTGTAAGCACCGAAGCTTTTGGATTATCATACAAAATATTTATCCACTGAATGAATTTGTCCCCAAATCCAAATCTTTTTAGAGTTGCAAACATATAAGGCCATTCAATTTGATCAAATGCACGTTGTGCATCTAAGGAAATCAAACATGCTTTTGTTGTATGTTTCGTGTATATTATATTATACAGACGTCTCAAGTTTGATTGTATGTGCCGATTTGGCATAAATCCTGTCTGATCTTGATTTATGATTGAACATATATACTGTTGCAGTCTATTAGCTAATACCTTACTAATAATTTTTGTCTATATTGGAATAAGAGAGACTGGACGATATGATGACAACTTCATTTTATCCCGTCCAGGCTTAGGTATCAATACTATGTTAGCATTATAAAGTGTTGGGGGGAGTTTCAATTGAGAGAATGAATAATTGATCATACGAAGAAATACTGGGGCGAGAATCTCCCAGAATTTTTTATAATATTCGGCACTAAACCCATCTGAGCCTGCACATTTATTATTAGGAAGGTTATTAACAACTTCGTTTACCTCATTTAGAGTAATTTCCTTTTCCAACATTTCAACAGCTTCTTCACTTATTTGGGGAAGATCAATATTAGATAAGAATTTATTTATTTCATTTGTATCTATATTTCCTTTAGATGTGTATACTTCTTTATAAAAGTCTGCAAAGCATTTATTTATCCGTTTCGGATCAGTTATTATTTCCCCACTCTCTGTCTGAATCGTATGAATGGCTCTAGATGCTTGGAACTGTTTAAGCTGTCGAGCTAGGTGTTTGTGAGGCTTCTCACCTAATTCAAAATGGCGTTGTTTAATTTGATTAAGTTGTTTAGCAATTTTTTTGGCAATAATATAATTATATTCGCTTCTCAAAGTTACTATTTTCTTTAAAGTAGTTGAACAACTATTGTTTTTATAACTTTCCTTTAATTCAGTCATTTGTTTATCAATTTCATTTAATCTCTTTTTATCTTCTTTGTTTTTTCGGATCTGAAATGAAATTATATCTCCCCTGATAACAGCTTTCATTGAATCCCATACTACAGAGTCTGTCACGTTGCCAATATCGTTTTCAGACAAAAAGTACCCAATTTTGTATTTTATGTAATCACAGAATTTAATGTCATTCATCAGAGAGTTGTCAAATCTCCAATTATAAGTCCCTTTTTCCGACTTCAATTTTAGATCCAGTGATAATGGGCCATTATCTGATATTAATCTGTTATGATATTGAGTGGATTTAACCATTTTTAACAAACTAGAATCTATAATAAAAAGGTCAATTCTGGAATAGGACTTATGTACTGATGAGTAAAAAGAATATTCTCGAGCTGATGGGTTTAAACACCGCCAGATGTCTATCATATTGAAATTTCTCAAATAATTTAACTATTTAAAGTGGCTGCAGATTTACTTTTTGTGGTGCGACTAGGCCGTGCATTTTTAACTGGGTCAATAACACAATTAAAATCTCCCCCAATAATCACGTTACATAAAGCAAAGTCAGGTATTTTGTCTAAAAGCATTTCAAAAAAACTCAGGTCATCATAATTAGGACCATATAGGTTAACCAATGTAATAGGAACTGAATTTATTTCACCATAAACAATTATATATCTACCATTTTTATCAGATATTGTCTGTTTATGTATAAATGGTACTTGCTTTTTTACAATAACTGCAACTTCCCTTGATTTAGTAGAGAAGTTTGATTGATATACTTGAGCTGCCCATCCAGGATTAAGAAGAGCCTTTGCTGTTTGTCTTATATGAGTCTCTTGTAGAAATATAATTTCAGCATTTAATTTATTAATATGAGTATATACCTTACGTCTTTTCACTGGATGATTCATACCTCTCACATTCCAACTCAGAAGCCTTACTATGCTTTCTCTGTGTGTTTGCTCTATTCTAAATATTTATATAAAATAATTATTTTTTCTGATATGATATCCGATGCTAGTTTAATTTTACCAGGCCTTTCATCCGAACCATAATTATACCCCCTTCCCAAGAACAAATCAGAACAGGCATATACAAACAGAAAACCCCTTATTCCCCCCCACCCTTTCCCATCAGTCAAATGACTTAGCTCCACGTTACTACCGGAACACTCACCACCGATGCAACGTAATCTTCCGTGTCCCCCGAAAAGAAAGAAAGAAGAAAAAAACAAAACAATCTTCCTCCGTTAAGATACAGTAGAATATAAACATGAATAACCTGTTTTATGAACCTCCTAATTGTCCATAATGTTCACTGTTATTTCAAATAAAGTTTGATGAAGTCTTCTTTATTTCAATCTGATCTGTTCCTTACATTTAGTCCACAGGCCAATTGTCCACGACTCATGACAAGTAGATTCCAGCCTCCTCTGGTGTGTCAAATGTTTTAGTCTCACCT